TTGGGGAGAGTCGACATAGCCAAAGCTAAGTGGTAGTGATCAAAATCATCATTTGGTAGATAGGATGCACAAGTCCATCCTTTGGCTACCGCAACCATTGCTCTGTGACCAATGTGATTTTCAAAGTTTACTTGTTTGTTCCAATTAGCCTTGGATACAATGCGCAGTGCAGCCGTATAGTAACAAGCAGTGGAATTGAGATTCTCATACAAGGAGACTGCTCGTTGAATATCTTCATCCTGAAAATCCATATTTTGCAAGGAGACATCCTGGCTGATCATCTGCTGTATCTGGTGAATATAAGATTGTCGTCGTTTATTCTGGAGGATTCCATTAATTGGGTTTTGGTTGGTATCCCAATCGGAGGCATGTTGAGCGTTGATTCCCCGTTTTACAAGACGATGACTAAGGCCATCACCTCGTTTGGGGGTAGGTTTTGCAGCGGGTTTCTTGACTGGCTGTTGGCGTAGGTCACTTGGGCTTTTTTTTGTGACAGGCTTTCTGTCTGTAATCACTTCAACAGTGTGTTTTGACTCAGTCCAGAGGGCGCCATGGCCTGTTTCTTTCTTTGGATCGTCTTCCAATTGCTGTTGTAAATCTTGGTATACCTGTTCACAGAACGAATCAGTTGAAAGCTGTGAGGCTTCATTGTCCGATGTACAGTCTTTGAAGGAAAAGGGAACAATAACCTTTTCTTCAGGGAGCTCTTTATTTTGGCGGCTCTCGGTAGAGTATGATTGGGATTGTTGCACTCCTTTTGGATAATCGGCGCAATCTTGCTTTACTTCTCTGTGAGCAAAGCGCGAGGCAGAGCTTTCGTCAACTTGCATTGCTTGGTTTACTGAATAGGGATCATTTTGGATATTGGGAATGTAAAGTTTTGCTTGCCAAATGATATGCAGGTGTTCCAGAAGTTTGATGCAAAGGAGATTCTGGGCTAACCTGACTTCCTTGATTTGCGGCTTGATGTTCATCACAATCCTTGAACAAAGGGTCAGAGTCCTGTTTTGGTGTTATTTCTTCTTCATGGGATGTAGACCCTGTTGCATCAATTTCAGTCAGTAGAGGACTGACTGCATCTTGATTGTGGTCAGATGAAGATGGGATCGAACGAGCAGGCGATTGTTTGTTGTCACGACATTCACCAATGAAAGTGGTATCTATTTGGGCATTTATGCTACATTGGGGGCTGCTGCCAGCAACATTTGCCGACTGTTTTGTTGCAGTGGGCTTTGTGTCATGCTTTTGGTGCGAAGAGTGACTGTTGTACCAAATTGACAGGATACGGCCAACAGGTGCTTTTCCCAAAGACATCATGAATGTCCATTTGACCCGGTAAGAAGAGAATGAGGTTCGCACGGTCATAGACACTAAGCTCAAGTGCATTATTAAGGCACCGTGAGACCTTGCCTCTTTCAAAACGTGGTTGAAGTACTTGTAGCTTCTGACCAGGTTCAATTTGGCAGTGAATAATACATTCATGCTCCGGCAAGGTAGTGATAACATCTTCTCTATGCAGTTGGAGGGGTGGCTTTGTGGTAGTGCATTCGAGGAAAATTGTATGATGGTCAAGGAGATGCCTTTGTTTCATAAGAATATCAAGAAGGTAAGAGGCCTCTTTCATGGAGAGTTCAGCTTCAACGAAGCAAATGGGAACTATCTCATCAAGAAGATCAATGGCTACATCTTTCTTGCCAATTTCAAAACTAAAAACTTGTAACTGCCCAAATCTTCTACGTGACATGCTATTACCTGGCAGAGGAAAGAATCCACTAAGTCGAGCACCTTGACATAGTCCTTTGTTATGTGCACCAACATGATGATCAGTTTTGGTTTCTTTAACATAAATGTTGGAGGTCCTTTCAGTGGTATGGACATCAGGTTGCTTGTAGTGGACAATTCTGTTACAAGCCTTGTGGTCAACGAAAGTGCTAGGTATTCGCGGGAATAATGTAGGTGATGCATAAAAGGCAACAACTTTCTGTTGGCCTTTGTCTTGGACATGCACTATGGCGGGTCGGATCTGTATAGCTCCCAAGACTTTTTGTAGCTTCTTACTAAACTCAACATCGACGATTCCATCTTTCATCATAAGAGATCCATCATCCTCAATCTGAAAAGCTTCATGAGTGTCACTTCCTGTCGTACAAATATCAACAGTCCAAAGGTTTTCATCGGTTCCCGCGGTGAAAGAACATTGCAGGCTACCTTCTTCTTTGCCAAATGGAATCTTAATCTGTTCTTGAAAGGTTCTGAGCCTGAAGTTTTCAAGTTCAGTTCCTTCAGCATAGATGACCAAGAGTAATCTTTTTTGGATATAGTATGGAATATTCATGTCAATCAAGATGCTCTGAAGTTGCCATCTTTCCTCTTGCGTGCAAGATCTGATGTCTAGAAAGGTGACAGTGCGAAAGCAATAGAAAGTGGGGGCATCACTAGGACGTACATTCCAAAAGAGTGGAATCACCCTTTGGAGGTCTTGCTGAGCAGCGGAGGCGACGTCTTGACTCAGACAAGCATAGATTGACATCAGGGAATCAGTCACAGTTTGAACTTCTGATTCGGCAATGCCAAAAGTGACACAGCATCGATCTGTCGCTCCGAGCTCTGTATGGAGAGGGGGGTCATGCGTATACACACGAAACCGAAAAACTCCAGGCACGGCAGTAATTGCAGCTTGGATCTGTGACGTGAGGGACTTGCTGGAACAAAGCCATGTTTCTGCATATTCTAGACTTGGCGAGAAGACTTCAAAGCTATTTACATTGCAAGTGGCATTGAGCGCAACGAAATATGTAGCTTTGGTAAAGGTGCGCGAGCCTCCATTTTGTGCAAAATCAAAGCTTTTATATTTGCTAACTCGCTGTATGTGAGCTCGATGTCTTTTTAGCGAAGTGCAGACCCCAATCGTTAGGTCAACACAAGTAGCACTCAAAGTGCACTCATGAAAAAGAAGCACATGTCGTAGTTGGGTGCCTGAGTGGTAGAGTTGCAAGATGATTTCTTGCAATCGACTCTGTATTCCATAAATGACAATGTCTATTGGATGACTTCCAGAAGCGGCAGCACAAACATTATTGTACTCATCTTCACCAACTATAAAGAGATTTCGGCTAAAACGAACTGTGTTGATCATGCTAGGAAAACGACAGAGAAAAAAGATGCGTGGTGATGCAGCTAAGGAGAGTTTACTGAGCTGTGAGAAAATTCCTTTTGCCTCAAATGAATCGAGAATATCATCATAGATAAATTGAGAGATCGCACAAGAGACTTCTTTAGAAACCATCAAGGAGACAAGTAGAGCCTATAACGAAACTCGAATGGTGTCTAAGGACACCCTTCAAGTGTGCTTGTAGGGTAAGGCGTAGCTAAAGTTGCAATCAAATGGAGTCTAAGGACCCCACTTGAAATTGTACGGTGTCTAAGGACACCACACAATTGCAACCGAGTGAAAATGCAAACAAGGCAAACAAAGACCCTAAGCTCAGAGTGAGAGGAACCTAGCTACGCGTGTCAGCCCGGAGAAAACTTCTTCTCTTTAAGAAGTAGTCTTGAACCTCCTAGCTCAACGGCTTTTGCCGCGAGTTTGAGCCGAGACGCCTTGAGCCAAAGGCTACGGAAGAAACTTCAGCAGCAAGTCGCTCACCAACCTCCGAGCGCAGAACTTTTGGGTGGATCATGCAAAGGGGCATGCGCTTTCAGGGGTGGGGTGTTTTTTAAAGTGTCAACTCGACGTTTTCAGTTTTCAGACATCAGTAGTCAATCATGTCAAAATCAGTAATCAGCAATAAACAGTTTTAATTTTTTGACAATCCAAAGTCCTACAGGCAGCGAAGATTCTGGAACAGCTTGCTCAGCAACAGCCCGACTGCGTGGAGGTGGCACTTTTGTCCAACAGAATTGACCAATGCAAGGCTGTGCAAAAGCTGGCAACGGCTTCTGACCTGAAGTCGTTTGGTCTTGAGTTGCTCGATGCTCTGATGGCAAAGTTTGAAGACTCTTGGGCATCCATTCCAGTGTTGCACAAAGTCCGGCTGACTTCGGGAAAAGCTGGGGCTCTCATGAATGCCTTTCCCCTCCTTTCTGACAGTGACTTGGAAAACACCGCAGCTGATATTGCTGTGATGCTGCTCATTGAGGATGGTTCACCAGAAGAGTGGTCAGGCAAAAGCCCCCGCAATACAGCCCTTGTGCAGCTGTGCCTTTCTGTTGTGAATGAGGCTGTTGATAACGCAGCTGGCTCTTCAGGCAATCCTGATCAGGAGGAGGAAGCGAAGCTGAAAGAGATTGCTAGGGAGTGCGAGTATGACTAAAAACTAATCTAAGTCTGATTCCAAATGTTTATCAAGCCTATAGGCCTAGGGCCTAGGATCTCACCACAGGTCCTGGCAGAGAACATCATGGATACGTTTGCGGCAGATGGCTTCATGAAGGTGTTCAAGGAGCCAGAGGACCACTTGTCTCATCTTCGTGCGTTGGGAGAAGCATTTGCAGCTCCACTTCAAAGGTCTAGCAGCTACATGCAGAAGCTTGTCAAGAAAGGCGAGGGTGAATACCTGCCGGCTTTGAACACCATTTTGGAGAACATCGAGCGTCTCACTTCAATCATGAAGTGTCTGGACTTTGCTTGGGCAATGAGATTGCCTTTTGATTCAGCTTCAACAGTTCAAGATGTGTTGAGACTCACATCCCCTCCGTCCAAGCAAACACCTCTTCTGGAAAAGATGCTGCAGGAGAAAATTGATTCAGCAATTTTCTCGAGTTGTTATTTATAAAGATATGTTGTTACATAGTTTATAGTATATAGTATTCGCTAGTATGCTATAAATATACAATGTACAGTAGAGTAAGTAGAGAGCTGATCTCCACAGGCATTGCGTTAATATGTTTGCTGTTTACCTGGCTGCAACACCCAACCAGGAGATGTCAGGCAAATCACAGCCATGGACAGGTGCAGTCGAGGAGATGCTGAGAACTGCCACTTCATCAGTCAAGTGCAGGCCAATGTTGGAAAGGCTTGTGTCAAGCTTGCAGACCTTCTCGCACAATCCTGTGCAGTGTCCCTCTGATCGCTGCATGGAGTTGGTATCTGACTTCAAGGAGGTCCAGGCTGGTATGCGGCGACATGAAGTACAACTGGCCGAAGAAGCATTGCGGAAGTTTCTTTGGGCAAAGGCTGACCACTTTCTCCAAATGGAAGAGTCAGACATCAAAGATGTTGTCAGGTCAAAAGACGTCCAGCCTGTGTTGCAAGGGCTTGAAATCTTCAAGAGCAACCCGCAAGAATTTGAGCTTGCTGGCAACCTTCGTTCATGGATGACGAAACTGGCCGGGTCAATGGCAGCCGCAGATCTGATGGACTTTGCTGTGGAGTCCGAGAAAAGTGAGGTGGCTGACCTTGATGCCCTTGGGACGCTTCTGGCCAAATGTCCACGCCTTCGAATTCCCTCTGAGGATTTGGCCAGCGTGGTGAAAGTTGCCTCATTGACTGGCATTGGCAGCAGCCTCTGCAGCCGTAGGCGTAGGCGTAGCCGCAGAAGCGTCAATGCTTGACTCTGGTGCTGCCTCAGACTGCTGAGATTCCACTGGCAGATCAAATTCTCCACGCCATTGGGTAGGGCAGCACCTTGTATCCAAGTCTTGCAGGCGCTCCTTTGCGTCCAAGAGCAGGTTGGAATAGCGAATGAGTGAGCTCAGCGCTTTCCCCTGCATATCTTTGCGGACCACGAGCTGCGGCATCTTTGCCCAAACCACCAATGTCGGCAATGAAACTGGCAGTTAGCACACCGTTTCTGACAATCTCGCCATGAAAGCCACAGCATTGTGAAAGAGGATCATCTTCTGGGAAGGCAATCTCAACCACATTCTTCAAAAGAACAAGTCTGCGGTTCACTTGGTTCTTGGTCAGCTGGGCAGTCTTCTCCCGTGCCTCCAAAGGAACAAATAATCATTGGTGACTAGCGTTTAAGTTTAGTCTATCATCTGACTTTATTATCGTCATGTGGATTCGGATGACGCATTTGCTGGATTGGAACTCGCTCTTTTCGTGCCAAGGCCAACGAGCACCGATGCACAATCACAGCCGCAGCCTCCCCAACAGGTCCAAGAGCTAACACCACAGGAGAAGGCGAAGAAGATCACTGTGGAGCTCTTTTCACTCCAAAGTTCTCCACCCTTTGAGGCAATGTTGGCGGAAGAGGTGGTTCAGGACTATGTTCTGCAGCATTTGTCTGTCAGGAAGCAAGAGCTTAAGGAAGCATCCCTCCACTTGTCCGCAGGTATGGGCCCACTAGATTCTCAAGATGAATGGCGCAAACAAGATGCCTTTGCTAAAGCTGATGCAACTGTGGATGAGGTGTTGCTCACGGCTAAGGATACCGTCTTGAAGATGCCTACCAAGGGCCAGCAGTTTCAGGATTTGCTCGAGAAGATGTCTGTGGCCATTTGTCCTGACCGAGTCTATTTTTGCGTGTTGATATTTGTTGTTTTGAAGCGCTGTTGGATAGTGTCCTGTGATGTTGTCAAAACATGGTCTTTGTGAGGCCTTGGCATCAGCAGTCTCTCTTGGTGAGCAGTTGGTGGCATGGAAAGCATTGCAGGCTTTGCCTCTCATGAAATCTGTGGCCTCGGATGTCAATGCCTTCATGGACCACATCCTCACAGAGTCAAAGAAGCTTCGAAAGGGCAGAGCGTTGTTCACCACGACAGTTCTCATTCTGGCCTTGAAGCTATTCAAAGGGGGCGATCCAGACACTGTCCAGAATGCCAAAAAGCTTGCGCGAGAGCAAACTGCTCTCATCCAAGGAGGGAAAGATTCGATGGCAGAATCTGATATCCCATTGCCAGTGAGGGCGCTGGCTAGCAATCTCTTGTCATGAACCTGCAGTAGCAGCCGTAGCCGTAGCCGCAGCCTACCCGGCCCACGTGTCCAGGATGGTAATATGATCCATTCACTACCAAGGATATTCATTACAATATATATATATATAACAATATATAATATATATATATCTGTCTTATGCGCACTTGTTCCTAAGCCAATGAGCTTGTACTTGTACTGTACTTGTAATCGGCTGGGCAACTTTGTGGCAGCGGCAGTCTCAGTCAGATGAGGCTTTGTTCCCGCGGCAGTCCATTGAGCCCGTTGGTAGCCTGAGGCCCTACTTTATAACTATTGTGCGCTATATTACTGCTATATGAGGTATGCTTGTGTAGCACTTCTACCCTTACGTGTAAGCCTTCTATTCTACACTACACTGCTACACATTGTCAGAAGGGCTCTTACCTTTTTTGGCGGTGACTGCAGACTAGTCCTCACACATACCCCTCCATCGCGAGGAAAAAGAAATTGCTTGCTGACAGTTGCTGACAAAGCATGTTATGGTGGGAGCACTGCAGAATTGATGTTCAATTTTTTTGCTGTCCATTTTCAACTTCCATTTATTCTGCTTTGCTGGAAACACATCCATTTCTAACATTCATTTTGGAAGTAAACTATCCATTTTAGGACCTCAACCTTGTACCTGAAATGGTTTTTACAAACCTCGTCCTGCCGCCGCAACCGGGCCTTTTAGTGCACGGCTGTTATTGGCCTCAGCCAAGTGCAACGCCTGATGTCCTCTCAGTCTCTGACCGTGTCACAGAAGAAGAGGAACATGGCGTACAAGCGGGACAGCCCCTGTCCTCTCCTGCGGCGACAGATGCCACGATGGCCGACGAAGAAGCAAGTGAAGCAGTCTCTGTCCACAGCTCCTCCTCAGAGTCGCCTACCATGCCGAGCGCCGTGCAGCCGGCGGAAGACGACGCGCACATGGAGGACGGCGACAGTGCTACCACCTCCTCTGCAGATGAGAGTGATTGCCTTAGCAATCATCCAGCCTCCCCCGAAACACGTCCAGCACAAGACTTTTTTTTTCCACGAGTACGGACGCCGTGTGGGCACGGTGCCCAGGTCATCATTGAAGGAAGGGAAGAAAGGACAGATGGTGGAGAAAGGAACGAAGACCCCAAAAAACCGACCCAAAACCAAACACCCAAGCCCGCAGGCCGACTCCACCATCTTGTAGTCTTCCCTATACACAAGGTGAAACGCGTGAAACTGAGACTAGTGACAACTAGTGGGCCTGAATTCGCAAAAGAAGTGGACTGCAGCGCAAGCTGTGTTCTTGGAAAGCCGCCATCAAGGCTTCAAACGGACTTTCCTTACCAAGTGTTGGTGACCAGCGGCCACACCACAGTGTGGCAAAACAAGGTCACTTTGCAGGTCAGGTGTCTCGCAATGCTCCAGCAGTGGTTGCAATCAGGCCAACCGAAAGTGCGAAGATCTAGGCAGCAATCCATGGAAAAGACAATACTTGCAGCACAACCCGTTCAACCGATGGCGCATACAAGGCCAGTCACATGCTGCCAGACAGAATTCAATTACGGCGGCAATACCTAGCGAGAGAAGCCTGCAGCTAAGGGTGAATCGGGCACCACCTCCCCGTGGGGAGGCAGACCCAACACCCTTCGGCACTCAACGGTGCCAAAAAGGGGGATGTCACTTGAGTCTGTGCGGCGCTGTTTAATGGCAAAAGGTGAGAGGTGCGTGCAAGGCCCGTGTGAAACCTGTGAAACATTGAGCTCTCCTAGCATGATATCTGTACCTCTTTGTACAAAATTGGCAATGTCGGACATCAACAGCGGGAACTAAGGTTCCCCCTGGGCATCCTTCATTGCCACTATCTACCACCCGCCGTGTAGGAACGCAGAACTAAGGTTCTCGCTCCTATCGGCTCACTTCGCAGCGGATGGCGAGAAGAGGTCATGGTTCTACTTGGTGTCTGTGCATTTGGCTTGCCATATATGCCTGGAAATCCTCCTTTTCCAATGCCAACTGGCACTTGGCTCCACTCACTGCTCACGTCGCACTTGCTTCTCTCTTGGCTCGGAAGCGTAGCTTCGTTGGGTCTGGTCCTAGATAGTCTGCGTCGCCCAAGGTCGTTTGCGTTACAGGTCATCGAATGCTATGGTGCCGAAAACTTGCATCTCGAGGCGACCACGACCACAGCATTTGACACCGAAACCAGTGACCGACTACTGTGTCTGGCAGGTGGATGATTTGCCGCTGTCGGCATCACCGCCACGCCGAGATCCTTCTCTATCCGACAGCCTCTGGGCGCTTGCTCCATGCATAACGGAAGGCAAGGTCTTTTGCATGAAATCGGTCACCGTTTTCTGCAGGCCTTGGTGGTTCAAAATGGTTTCCGGGACTTCTTGCAGAACAGCTTGCAATTGTTGGATGCTCGGGCGGTCTTTGCTGCTGTCGACTTTGCCCTCGAGCTCAGTTAGGAATTCTTTGAGCGCGTCGACTTTCTCCACAGGCCAGCCGGTCACGTCCAAGCTCGCCGACGCCTTCGCGTCTTCTTGGGAGGACGTTAGATCGATGTCCTTTGAGTCGTCCTCCGCATCCGATGCCAAGGGCCCTGCCTTCTTTGCCGGCTGCTTGCTCGTCAGCTTGCCGCCTTTTCCCTTGGAAGTCTTTTTTGCCCGCTGCGCTTCCCAAGCGTCGTCTTCTGCATCGTCCCCATAGAGCTCGGCACCGCCCTTGCCCCACGCTGCGGCCGCCGTGGGCTCTTCGTCCCAATCGTAGGTTGCAGCAGCACGCTTTTTCACGCCAGCTTCAAGTTTTTGGTGTTGGAAGGCAGCCACCAAAGACCATACCAAGGCTTCCTGCTCCTCGGGCGCGCGCAGCCACGCCTTGCAATCTTCCGGTAAAGCCGCTTGCTGCCCAACTGCATGCACGCCAGCTGCCATGACCTTTGGGTTGGACAGGGCGGTGATCGCTTCAAGGCCTTCAAAAGCAAAGATATATAGCCGCGCCGTGAGGCGCAGCAACTTCCGGAAAGCCGCTTCTTTTTCTGCGTGTTCGTGGGTCAAGAAGCGAACAAAGCGTTTCACGGCCGCGGCCGTAGCTCCCTCGTTGCGTTCCACTTCAGTGTTGGCAGTGTTCAAGTACGCGCAGGCTTCCAAGAATTTCTTGCCATTTGCAGTCTGGAACTGCTCGAGTAATGGCTGAATGCCAACTTTCTTCAAACCGGCGCCGGCGTCCTCGCCGAAGTGGTGCTGCAACGCTCCAGCGCCAACCTCGAAGTTCGCAGCGCCTTCCGGGAGCGCAATGCCCTGCCGCGCGCAATACTCCGAGGAGTCCTCGCTCAGAATGTTGCGTAGGTGGTATGAGGAGAGCAGCTCGGATTCTTGGACGCCATTGGCAGAGAACGGGCTGCCAGCTTGATCCACGTAAGGGCGAAGGTACCACTTGGAAAGCCGATTTTCCCAAGAAACCTTTTTCACATAGTCTTTCTTTTCGCCGAAGGCCTTGCCCTTCGCTTTCCCGCCGCTGCCTTTGCCCTTGCGAGCGCTCCAAGCACCTTTGCCCCAGGACGACATGACAGCAGCTAGCGCGGGATAGGGCCGAAGAGGCAAGATGAAGCACGACAAGGTAAAGCTGTGAGCCAACAAACTTCGAGAAAACCTTTGACCCGCAGGCGAGCTCATTCTTTGAAATTTCAAAACGAACAGCTAGAGGGATGCGCAACTGCGAGACAGGATCTGGCAAGCTAGAGCAACATCAGCAAAGGCGTCTCCACAACAGTCAACTTCTCAAAGCAACATGATCGAAATTTGATATAAACCACAAATCCTTGGCACTAGCTGGTCAGCCGGCCGTGTAAAGATCGATTTTCCGCGTACCTTAGAGGCAACAAGCCCGTGGACAGAAGCCATCAACAGAAAACAGTGCTTATTACTATAGAAGGTAACCGGGCGTAACTCTTAAACGGCTGGGGAGGTACGCCTTTACAAAGCCCGGGCAGCGCTAAGGTAATTGGACGTCACTCTTCAGCGGCTCACGAAGTGTTCATACGCATCCATTTCAATGCGTCGGGCTTCCCTGCGGTAATCCTGCGTCACTCTTAAACGGCCTGCGAGGTGGCTATACTGAGGGTCCCACCGGCGCGACGGTAATTTCGTGTCACTCTTAAACGGCCTGGGGCTTGTCACTTGTCTGCATCTCGGTTCTCCTTTAGATCTAGCTCCGGTAGAACAGATTGCTTCACACAGGCGTCTGCAAGTCACAGCGTTTCCCGCTCATGCCCTTGCCTTCGCCTTTCTGCTTGAAACTGCCCGGGGACAAAGAGGAAAATGTTGCTCGAGTCTGCCCAGTCACAAGTGGCCCAAACGCAGCCCAAGTCACTTTACTATGTACAGTGGCGTCTCGCCCTATTAGGTTTAAGTTTTCGAGGTCCGTGCCCATGCCAGCCGAAGCTGCACCGGGTTGCCAGTCCGGTGTTGCACTCACGTCCGCCCTCAATAATAATAGAAAGCTACAATTTTAGTTGTCGAAATCGACCGGTTTAGGGGGCCTAAACCCCGTAACGTCGAAGTAGGGAGGCGTCCGTGAAAATTCGAAATCGCATCTTTCAGCCCGATGGTGTAAGGGCTATATTTTCGCTTCGAGAGCAACTTTTTCCCGAAGCGAAAATTCCCAAAAGGTCGCCTCCGGGCAGGTTTTGGGCGGTAACGCCGGGTAACGCTTCAAACGCTGTAGCGTTACCACCGGTGGGCGCGCTACAGCGTTACCACCGGCTAGGGGGGTAAACCTCGCTACCGGGACTGTGGCTTACAGGGTTTACCCCCCCTAAACCTTGTTGTTTTCATTGCTTGCTCTAGGGTTTTGGCCCCCTAAACCGTTGGCACCTTAGACTGAAAGCGGCGCGCCGCAGCGTTACCGCCTGTGAGGGGGGTAAACCTCGCTACGTGGACGGTGGCTTATGAGGCTTACCCCCCCTAAACCTTGTTGCTTTCATTGCTTGCTCCAGGGTTTTGGCCCCCTAAACCG